GTTGCAGAAGCCACTGAAGGACAAGGTGAATCAAGCCAGTTTGCAGAGGTAAAAGCCATCCAGCTGGCTTTGGATATTGCTGAGCGAGAGCAATGGCCAGTACTTTACCTCTATACTGATTCCTGGATGGTGGCAAATGCTCTGTGGGGGTGGTTACAGCAGTGGAAGCAGAGCAACTGGCAGCGCAGAGGGAAGCCCATCTGGGCTGCTGAACTGTGGCAGAATATTGCTGCTCGGATAGAGAATCTGGTTGTGAAAGTGCGTCATGTAGATGCCCACATACCCAAGCATCGGTCCACTGAGGAACATCAAAACAACCAACAGGTAGATCAGGCTGCCAAAATTGAAGTGGCTGAGGTGGATCTGGACTGGCAGGATAAGGGGGCACTATTCCTAGCTCGGTGGGCCCCCGATGCTTCAGGCCATCAAGGGAGAGATGCGACATACAGATGGGCTCGTGACCGAGGGGTGGACTTGACCATGGACACTATCGCACAGGTTATCCACGAATGTGAAACGTGTGCTGCAATTAAGCAAGCCAAGCGGTTAAAGCCTCTTTGGTATGGAGGACGATGGCTAAAATATAAATATGGGGAGGCCTGGCAGATTGATTATATCACACTCCCACAGACCCGCCAAGGCAAGCGCCACGTGCTCACAATGGTGGAAGCAACCACTGGGTGGTTGGAAACATACCCTGTGCCCCATGCCACTGCCCGAAACACTATCCTGGGCCTTGAAAAGCAAGTCTTATGGAGGCATGGCACCCCAGAACGAATTGAGTCAGACAATGGGACTCATTTCCGAAACAGCCTTATAGATACCTGGGCCAAAGAGCATGGCATTGAGTGGGTATATCACATTCCCTATCACGCACCAGCCTCGGGGAAGATAGAAAGATACAATGGACTGCTAAAGACTACACTGAGAGCCATGGGTGGTGGGACTTTCAAACATTGGGATGTACATTTAGCAAAAGCCACCTGGTTAGTTAACACTAGGGGATCTGCCAATCGAGCTGGCCCTGCCCAATCAAAACATCCACGTGCAGTAGAAGGGGATAAAGTCCCCGTAGTGCATATGAAGAATATGTTAGGGAAGACAGTTTGGGTTAGTCCTGCCTCAGGCAAAGGCAAACCCATTCGTGGGATTGCTTTTGCACAAGGACCCGGATGCACTTGGTGGGTGATGCGAGAAGATGGGGAGGTCCGATGTGTGCCTCATGGGGATCTGATTCTGGGTGAGAATAGCCAATGAATAGAATTTTATAATGTTAAATAACTTTGCTGTTGTATGTTATCATTATTATGATGGCTATTAGTGCTGTCAAAGAAGGATCACCTAGATCAATGACAGATGGACTTTGATGAGACTAAGTAAACGGCATGAACTGCGTCAGGTATACCAGCCTCAGCAGCTGGCATCCAACAACCCCCTTGAGATCAACATCTTCAATCTTGGACCATGGGCATAGACTGCATCAGCATACACCCGTCCAGCACCACACACCATCTCATGTGACCTGAGAGACTGTTCTCACAGATGGAGCCCACAGTCATGGACTAAGTGAGTTTAATGGACATTTTAAGTGAGTGCAATGGACGTTTTAAGTGAGTTCAACGGACACGTTGGAGGTATGGCCCACAGACTATGGGAACTGTAAGATCTGGGCATGACACAGATGGTATGGAATAAGGAGTGGATAATGTCCTGGTTCCGGCAGGGATGGGGTTAATCTCCCCCCGGAGCCGGCAGGGGGCAGGTATTCCATACCATGTGACCCATGCCCGAGCTATAAGAGGAGCTAGCCGGGGCAAGGAGAGGGGGTCCGGTCGGTGCGCTTCGCGGCGGTACTGTAATCGCGTTTTTGTCTTTTCCTTTTGCTGTTCTGTTAAATTGCACTCTTTTAACCCACGAGTTTGGCCCTGTCATTTTCTTTTTCCACGACTGCGGGAGTTGTGCGAGCGGCTGCGTGGTTCTTTGTTGCTGGCTGAGGCCAAACCACGACACATGTGTAGAGCACTTGTTTAAAGATTCCAAAAAATGAGATTCTTCCATTCAAACTTTGCCTAAGCATGGAGTTTGAAAAAAACAGCACATCAGGGGTCAGAAGTTAGCAACCAAAATATATGGTCAGAAAGCTTCCTAAATCACCACAGCCTTAATAAACTTCATGAGTTGACCTGGGAAGAGGAGGTCAATCAGACTCTTTTCTCTTCCTCTGTCTTCAGTGTCTTCAGTTTGCTGGTCACAAAGTCCTCTCCTCTTGGTTTACTGTAATCCCTGGCTCATGACCAATCTAGAATTTGACCTTTCTGAACATGGAAAATGTAACACATAGCCTTTGCTATTTTCTCTTTGAAAGGCAGAATTTCATGGGTATTGTTGTACTCTTTCATGTATTGCCATCACATGTTGTTTCACCCGATCATGACTGAGTTTACTGAGTTGCTGTTTTCCCATTAGATTTGCAGTGAACACAAAAAAAGTCTTCATCGTTTCCAGTCCACATGCACTGACTCAGTAGGGAAACATTTTGAAGTGTAAGAAAGGCATTTCATTCTGAGAGTAAGTGTCCCAGAGAAACGTTTGTTTTTTTTTTTTCTAAATCTGGGCTCACCATAAAGAAAAAAAAAAAAAAGAACAAAGCCATACCTAAAAATCAGGTTCAAATCTGGATGTGAATTGAGGTTGGTCCCTTGTCAACTTCTGCGTTGATTTCTGATTTCTAAAAAAAAATCTGTCACAGGTGCTGTCACAATACACTTCCAATCCCAGGCTGGACTCAATATTGCTCACACACGCATGATGCATGGACAATCCTTCAGGTGCTAAGGTTCCATGGACCTTAGCACTTGCAGGGAGAAGCATGACCATAGACTGCTGTTTTCATGTAACACATAGGAGGTCCACCACTTCTCAGTACAACAGCAGAGCCAGCAACTCTTAAAGAGCATGGAGAGGTTGTGTCAGGTTTTCAACCATGCACATAAAACTAAATTTCAGTGGTTACCATTAATGACTACCGTTTTTTAAAAAAAAGACAAAAACCCCACAAAAATGGAGAAATGGAAAAAGAATAAGAAAAAAAAAAAGGAAAAGAAGAGGATAATGGAAAGGGAGAAAGACAAGGAAAAGGAGAAAGGGAAGGAAAAGGAAAAAGAAGACAATTCCTGCAATCTCTATACATACTAGCAAGGCATATTCTCACATCCTGGCATGTAATTGTTTTTTATGCGTGTTTTTTGACAGGACAAAGAACAATTTTTTGAACTTTGAATTGTGGAAACTGCTACAGAGAAATGAACTCTGGTACAAAATAAACATCCAGGCATTCTAGCTTTCCTAACAATGCTTGGCAAATTACTGCATTCCTCGAGCCTTAATAACAGAGACATACTCATTAGTTTAAAAAATAGCTTTGCCATCTACATTTGGATTTTCTACTGGGGAAAAAAAAAAAAAGGTTTTAAACTCATAGCTTTGTTTATCACAAATTTGTATTTTTAAAAGAGATTTTTCTCTTCACAATAATCAGCCAAAGGCCTTATTGAACTTTAACATGGGAAAAAAAATTCATTGGGGAAACGTGTTAGTACATCTTAGACAGATTAAATGCCTCCAGCAATATTTGAGTACATAAATATCAGGTACAAATACAAGGTGGGAAACTGAGTCTTTTCTCACTAAGAATTTTAATTTATTTAAATTATCAAGCTTAAAAGAAGAACTGTTTATTCACACATAAAGTACTGAAAGTTACCCAAATAACTGAAAGGATATTTTCTTTCTTTCAATCATTCCCATAGTATTTCCCTCTTAATAAAATCTTTTGACCAAATTAAAACATGATAGAAGAATTTCTTTTGTCACAGTAGATGTCCATTCAGGCAAGACATAGCAAAAATAACGTGCAGGGGAGCTAGTTCAGCTTTTTAAAAAGCAATTTAGTTATTTAGCTTGGGCTGTAGAGTGCCTCTTTTAGGTCACAGGATGTCTTTAAAACTGAGCAGGGGAAAAGAAGTGGATGTTACCTGGGATTAGCATTTCACAGAAAAAAAGAAACTGTTTTTTAGAGCTCTGTTTGTGTTTTGGGTGTATTTCTCATACAGCATGAAACCCAGACGTTCATTCATTCAGCAGGTGAAATCATTATTTATTCTTTTCATTGATTGTTTCCTTTATTTTTGCTGGATGTGGGATCGTTGCTCTTCCTTGGGAGCTGAGGCTTTGAGGATGCTGAGATACCTGGAGCTATGGCTCTTGGTGGCCAACAAAGTGAGCAATCAAAGAACCAGAAAGAGAGGCCTGGGACACTTCAGTTGTTTCTGAACCTGTATATAAGTAATTTTGCTTTTGGTAGGATGACTGGTAAGGCAGAAGCAACCTACTACAAATCTAAAAGCAGCAAGGTGCTCCTGTAAATCGCCACTCTGCAAATAAGGTTATATTTGATTCCAGCCACTGGCAACCTGAACAGTAACTGCACAAGGAAAACTTATTTCATTAAAAGTTAGAGTGAGTTTCCTCCTCCTGACCATCTATATGTAATTAAGGTCATATGTTGCTCAGTGAGAGCTTCACAGAGGGAGAACAATGGGAACAGGAAATCTAACTGCTCTCCTGCTTCTCCAAAGCTCATTTGTGCTTACCCAAATTGCCTTCAGCACACACTGTACTACAGCTGACATCTCTTTCAAGAAGCATTACTTGATGGTCTTGTCCATCACCAATGAAGCTGTTATCTTGGATGTCAAGGAACTAAACTGTCAGGCAATGGTAAGCACCTAAGCACCACGTGTACCTGTCCTTTAAATACCTCCAGGGATGGCAATCCACCCCTTCCCTGGGCATCTTGTTCCAACGCTTGACAACCCTTTCACTGAAGAAATGCCTCCTAATATCTAATCTAAACCTCTCCTGGCGTATCTTGAGGCCATTTCCTCTTATCCTATCACTTGTTACTTGGGAAAAGAGATCTACCCTCCTTTCAGGTAGCTGTGGAAAGTGACAAGGTCTCCCCAGAGCCTCCTTTTCTCCAGACTAAACAACCCCAGTTCCCTCAGCCGCTCCTTATAAAACTTGTTCTCTAGATCCCTCAGCAGCTTCCTTGCCTTTCTCTGGACATGCTCCAGCACCTCAATCTGCTGCCTCAATCACAGAAAACTTCTTTGGTCCACCTTGCTTACATACTTCTTATCAGGTTGTTCTTTTATCAATATCTTATGCATATTGATGTATCCTTCCAATATCTCCTCTCTCGTTTCTACATGTTTGTCTTTTCTAAACAGAACTCTTGTGATCTTCCATGCATCTAGCATTCTTCCATGTCTCATGAAGAGCTTCCTGTATCTAGTTATTACCCATTTTCACATCAATAGTTTCATCCCTTATTATTCCCTGTGGAGAAACTCCCTGAAACTTCATCTGTCCCATTACACTCTCCTTTTCTGTGTGCTTCTGAGGTACCAAAGAGCTGATATCTTTGGGGATCCCAGGAAAGTGGTATCTTCCCTCATAAACTGCTGTTCCAGTATATTCACCCACTTGCCTGTTATTG